GATAGTTATGTATACAGTATAGATAGATGTCCATGTAAGCATGGACATCCATCTATGGACATCTATCCATGGACATACTTATATGAACATCTATCTATACTTTATACACAACTGTCCAAAATATAGACCATACTTTGATGGGTTAATAGAGAAGATTTTTGGATATTTCTGGAAGAATAGGTTCTGGGTATACACTGAAGTGACCCAACTATATTGTTTGTAGTAACTAGTGGGTATTTCTTACTACCTGAATTCAGTTGGTAAAATTGTTGAAGATAAATACCCTGGATGGAGTTAAAACATAGTAATTCTTACTTAGTTTTATTAGAAAATAATTGGACCATGTTTTGGTTCATTAGTCCTGTGTCCCCTTTCTTATTCGATATCCCTTGAGTGTTATTGAAATTCTGGGAAATACAAGAAAAGGAGCTAATTATTGGGGGCCAAGACTCTATGACATGTAGAGGTTGCAGCACAAAATAAAATAAAATAAAATAAGATGTCCTGAGATTTCTGAGGTTGGAGATCAAGTTTAATAGTGGAAAAGGTTGACTGCCATTATAGTTGTTTGAGAAGGGTGAATTTGTGTGCAAGAAAGCAGGAGATATATTTTTACTAAATTAGAAAGTATTTCTCTGGGCTAAAGTTGATTTGAGGTAGAAAGGAAGATGAGGAGGAATGTAAGACAAAAGGAATTATCTTGGAAAAACTAGAGAAAAATAGGTTATATCTAGATCCAATTTCTAAAGGTAATTATAGCATAGAATCATATACTTGGATTTTTTTTAGCGTCAGTTAGAAGACTGGGGTGGTAGTCAGGGTTGTTCAGAGAAACAGAACCAATAGAGGGTGAGTGTGTGTATAATCTGTCTCAATATACACGCATGTGCACACACACACAGATTTTCTTTTTTTTTTTTGAGGCAGAGTTTTGCTTTTGTTGCCCAGGCTGGAGTGCAAAGGCACGATCTTGGCTTACTGCAACCTCTGCCTCCTGGGTTCAAGCGATTCTCCTGCCTCAGCCTCCCGAGTAGCTGGGATTACAGGCATGTGCCACCATGACCAGCTAATTTTTTTGTATTTCAGTAGAGACCAGGTTTCTCCGTGTTGGTAAGGCTGGTCTCGAGCTCCTGACCTCAGGTGGTCTGCCCGTCTCAGCCTCCCAAAGTGCTGGGATTGCAGGTGTGAGCCACTGCACCCAGCCCGAGATTTTTTTTTTTTAAAGGAATTGGCTCATGTGATTGTGGAGGATGACAAGTCTAAACTCTGTAGAGTAGGCCAGCAGGCTAGAGACTCAAAGAAGAGCAGCTAGAGTTGGAAGGCCATATGCTGACATAATTTGCTCTTTCTTTGGGGGAGGTCAGCCTTTTTCTTAAGGTCTTCAACTGATTGGATGACACCCATCTACATTATGGGGGGTAGTTTGCTTTATTCAAAGTCTACTGATTTAAATGTTAATATCATCTAGAGAATACCTTCCCAGCAACATCCAGATGGTTTTTTTACCAAGTGTCTGGTCACTGTGGCATAGCCAAGTTGACCCATAACTAATAGTAAACATCACAACTGGCATAACTCTTTTGGTTAGGACTTTTTATTACTTAATCTGATATAAAAACAAAGTGAATTGGACAGTTTTGACTCATTAACTCAATTCATTCAGTCATTTCAAGTAAATACCTTGTTATCAGTATAGCATTTACATATTTAAATTGTTTTGGTAATTGCAGCTTTAGCATCTGGGAAAAGTTGAGCACAATTAACATTAATCTGCTCAAAAGAAAATGGTTATGTACAATTTTTATGTGTTGATTATAAATAAAAAGTAAAATGATTACAAATTCCAAATAAATGAATTGAAAATAGTGAAACCATTTTTTTGGTTATCATAGCCAGAGGCGTTATCTTCTGCTTTTAGAACATATGAGCAGAAAGGTTTCAGTTTTGCATTCTTAAATTCAAATTACAACCTTGGAAAAGAAGCTCTTTAATTTTTCCCCATTTTAGTTGGCATACCTGTAAAATAAGAATTTAGATGAGACCTTTAAGACCTCTTCCAGCGCTAACATTCTGTGATTTTGAAGTTGTTTTACCCTTAGAACATTTATCACTGTCTCCTTTGAGTGTAGTTATTTGTGCTTTTTACTTTTTTCCTTTAATAGCTACTTCTCTAAGGTCAAAATGGTAAATTATCTTCATATTAATCTCAATTCCTTACCCAGAGAAAGCATCCAGATGTTTGTTTAGAATATAGTCTGTTAATGTAGTTCACTATATATAGTTAAATGCTGTTCTTCAAAACCTTATTAAATACACAAAAATTTAGTATAGCAATTCTTTGTCTTGGCCATCAGTATCAATTTGGGACTTTGCTTTTCATTAAAACTAAACTTGTCTTTGTAGACTTCTCATTTAAACTCATTCTGCTTAATTCTACTCAATTGAATAGATTAATTTTGGGCCTTGCCGTGGGTTATTAATAGTATCACCCAGGGCAAATTACTTAGACTCTCTCATCCTCAATTCCCTAAATAGTAAGACTGGAAATAATAATGGAGTATTTGCCAAGTTACCATCATATTCAAATGAAATAACTTGGACCAACATCAAGCGCAGTGCTTGATACAGAGTAGACACTCATTAAAATGTTGGTTTTTTACCTCTTCAGAGTTGAGACTTTAGCATCTTCCTGGCAGCAGGGCACCTAGTATTAAATATTTAGTAAATGTTTGTTAAACTGAAGGGGCAAATGACTTAAATAACTTAATATGATAAATTATTACTATATAAGTAATATTCAGTATTGTTATTAAGAATAGGCTTTAAAACATAAAGTAACTTTCTCTGTTGTCTCTAATTTTTTTGTGTAATAAAAGCATTTTCATCTTTAGTATTTTTGTTATTGTTGTTTCAGTGATGCAGCTTGGTTTAATGAATCTTGGTTAAGCCGAATTAAAGAGGATGTTGGGGACAACTGGAGAATAAAGGTATGCAGAACAAATGGGAGAAGCACTTGATCCAAACGGTGGTCCTAAAATTAGCACTAAGCTAACCAAATCTTTTTTTCAAATTAACCTGTAGTACTTTTTATTGTGTACAGTTTGAGTTTTAACACATGCGTTCTCTCATGTAACTACCATCATAATTAAATAGAAAATAGTCCTATTAACCCAAAATATGCACTTTAGGCCCATTCTTTATTAATCCCTACCCCCAGCCTTGCCCTAGGTAGCTACAGATCTCTTTTATGTCACTTTGGAGTTCATTTCTGGAATTCTGTATAAATTGAATCATATAATGTTTACCTTTTTGTCTAACTTCATTCACTCAGTAATACTGTTTTTGTGTCTCATTCATGTTGCCTGCATTAGTAGTTATTTCTCTTTTTTGCTAAGTAGTATTTAATTAAACTGATATTTTGTGGTTTGTTTAGCTATTCACTTGTTGATGGATGTTTGAATTTTTATCATTTTTTACTATTGTGAATACAACAGCTGCAAACATTCATATATGAATCTTCAGATAAATACATACTTAATTTCTCTTGGGTGAATTTCTGGGTGGAATTGCTAAGTTGTGTAAGTATGTGCTTAACCTTACAGGAAACTGCCAAACTGATTTTCTATTTTTAAGTCAGTTTAAGTAGGACATTTGTTTCATATAAGATATATGATTTGTTGATACACAGTTCTTAACTGAATTACTGTGCTAATAATATGCTAATAACTGATCTTTAATGATGTTTCCTTTTCTTGCTATTGGTTATTTGTGTCTTTTGAATGTATTTTCCTTGATAAGTCTGGGTAGATGTTTTTCAGTTTTACTTATTTATTTTTTAAGGGATTAGCTTATGTTTTCTATTCCATTGATATTTCTCTCTGATTTTTATTATTTCCTTTCTCTCACTTAATCTGTTCTTCTTTTTCTTGCTTCTTAAGATGGAAACTTAAAGGGAAATTTAAATCCCTTTTTCCCCTAATATTAAGCAGCATCTTAGCCATATCTCACATATTTTGATAGACTGTTATTTTATTTTCATTCAATTCAAAATATTTGGTAATTTCCCTTGTGTTTTCTCCTTTGACCTATGAGTAAATTAGAAGTAGGTATTCAAATTCAAAATATTTGCGGATTTTCCAGTTGCTTTTCTTTTATTTATTGGTTTCTAATAGATCTGAGAACATGCTCTGTACTGAGAAGTTATTTTACATTTATTGAGTCTTATTTTATGACTGAACATATGGTCTGTCTTGGTGAATGTTCTATGTGTATATGAAAACAGCAAGCATTCTACAGTTGTTATATAAATATAGAATTTGTCAAGTTTGTTGATAGTGGTATTTTTCACATCTTTATTGATATTTTCTCTTATTATCCTATATGTATGGTATAGTATAGACTCTGAAGAGGGCCCTTAAATCTCTAGTGATGATTTCGATTTTGTTGATTTCTCCTTTGCATTTTTTTTGTTTTTTACTTCATGTATTTTGAATTTTTGTTATTAAGTTTATTACACACTATATTTCTTATGTGTTCTTGAATGAATTCACTTATTATTAAATGCTTTTCTTTATCCCTGGTAATATTCTTTTATTTGAAATCAAATTTGTCTAATACTAATGTAGCCACTACAGATTTTTTATGACTGTATTTTTCATTAGTATTTCTTTTTCCATTCCTTTAATCTGCCTATGTCTTTTTATTGAAAGTGTTTCACGTGGACACCTAATAGTTGGGTCTTACGATTTTATCCAGTTTGACAATCTCTATTTGATTCTTTATTGTAAAACACTTATTTCTTATGTTCATGTTTTTGTTCAAATCCTTGAACATCTTTAAACTAGAAGTTTTAACATTGTCTCTCAATTCTTTTATCTTTCATTTCTGAACCCATGTGTATTGACTGAGTTTTCTCTTAATTTTGCTCCCCATTTTTCTGCTTTCTGTGTAGTAATTTTTAATTTTACACAAGATATTATGAATTTTATTACTGAGTGCTGTTTTTTTTTCAGTTGGAATCATTTTTAATATTTAAATACAAAAAGTGAGCACTGACTTCCGTTTTTTTAAACACACACACAGGTCTAACAACCAAACTGTGCAGGGGAAATGAACTCCTGATCTGTCTTCCACAGTCCCCATTCTGTGGCTGAAGCTGCAGCCAGCCTCCCTCCTCTCATACAGAGGGATTCATAGTGGCCACTTTACACTATAGGTGTAATGCATTTTATCTTTCACATTGCGTGCATGTCCCTCCCCAACAGTTCCATTCTTTTTAAAAATAAAAATAAAAAATAAAAAAGGCAATCGTTAATGGTCAGGGGCACATCCCTCCCACTGACATCGGTTCCTACCCATGAGGGGAAAGTGACATCTTCCAGTTAGGAGCAATTTGGTGAAAGGAGTGGGGTGGCCAGAGCAGGAATAACCGTCTGCATGGCTGCACTCTGGTATCAGAGTGAAGATAGAAGTAAGGATAGTGTGGAGGGCACAGTTGCAAGTTGAGTCTTTCCATGAGACAGTGTGGGGAGAATTCTCCCCACCAGGTTTAGATAGATCAATGTGCCAAAGTTAAAAAAAAAAAAAAAATTCCAAATAATCAGCAGTTCAAACACTTGAATTTCAAACTTATCCCACTGAGACAGCTCAAACAGCAGTAACAATCTAGATCTTTCCAGGAAGTGAGGGTAGAGCCCCTGGCATTCCTCCTGAGAGCCCGTGTTAGGCCCTAGAAGTATCTACTGCTGCTGCGGTTGCTGCTGTTGCTCCATTTGCAACTTCTCAGTCTCAAAGACAACGGGAAGAACCAGGATCATAAAGGAAGTGGTCCCAATCCACAAGGCTGCCCTGGAAAATCTGTACATTTTTTGAGCCACAAAGAGGGAAAGATCAAAAGTGGCTCCGGCCGCGGACCAGGCCTTCTCCGGAAACATCTCCGTCAGGCCCCATAGTCTCTCCGACAGGGTCTCATCTAGCTCCTCATGGTCGTCTCCCTCCAGCTCCTCGTCAGGCTTCTCCACATCGCCTTTCAGGAGCAATTCGTCCGGGGACTGGGATTCCCCAGCACCGGCAGCAGCAACGGCGGCAGCCATGACTGAGTGCTGATTTTTTAAGTTTTGTTTTGTTTTGTTTTGTTTTTCCAAGACAGAGTTTAGCTCTTATGCCCAGGCTGGAGTGAAGTGGTGCAATCTTAGCTCACTGCAACTTCCGCCCCCCGGGTTCAAGTGATTCTCCTGCCTCAGCCTCCCAAGTAGCTGGGATTACAGGTGCCCGCCACCACACCTGGCTAATTTTTGTATTTTTAGTAGAGACAGCGTTTTGCCATGTTGGCCAGGCTGGTCTTGAGCTCCTGACCTCAGGCGATCCACCCACCTGGCCTCCCAATTAAGTATATTCTTTTGAGGAGTGTTGAATTTTGTTCTTGCAAGCAGCTAAGGTACTTGGAATCAGTTTGATCTTTGAAAGGCCTATTTTTGGCTGTGGTGGGGGGCAGAGCTAAAGTTATTCTTTCCTTTAGGACTAAGTTAGACCCATTACTAAACTGTGACCTTTTTGGGGTCTTTAGTGAATGCTTTGTGCATGTAGCGTGGTGTCTTCATTCTGGCTAGTGAGAATTTCAAAAATCTTTTGGCCTATGTAATCTTTGGGAATGGTTCAGTTTATAGTTCCCTGGATTGTTATTTCTTTGAAAAGAACATTGAGTTTCACCCATCCACATGCAAACTGGTATTTAGCCAAAGAGTCAAAGGAACCATTTTACACAAATCTCCAGAGCTCGCTTTTTCCGTAGCTCCCATCTTTTCATCTGTCTGCCCTGCAAATTCAAACTGCCCAGGCCTTCCTGAACTTCTGATGTCTGTCTCTTCAGCAGGCTTGGTTTGGTTTCCACTTCCCTACGCTGTAGTCTGAAAATTGCCTCAAGACAGAAAGCTTGTACTAGTGTAGGGCTCATTTTCTGTTTGTTTTCGTTCTTTCAGAAAGCAGAGTTCTGTACTACTTGTTGTCTAAAGCTTGAAAACAATTGTTTAATGTATTTTGTCTTGTTTTCTAGTTATTAGTGACAGGAGAGAAAATCAAAATCCAGTTAACTTGCTCATGACTGGAGGTGGACATGCCCGTATATAAATTTCTAAAGTTGTCCCTTGGGTTCATTGTGGCGCACTTTAAATAGAATCACCTTACTTAACTAAACACTGATTAAATCTCTGATGGTTAAAAAGCATTGTGTGTTTGTATTTACAGAACTCTATTATAATGTTTTTGTTGTCCTTTTTAATTAGGGGAGAATTTTTATTGTCTTTCATGCTGGCATAACTTTTCTTTCATTATTAATCTGAAATAAGAATCTCTTATTTTTTTCACATTAGGCCAGTAATTTAAAGAAGGTTCTTCAAGGAATTATGAGTTATTATCATGAGGTATGAAAAACATCTGACTTTGTTTAAATGCAAAATGCTATATGAAAATTACTTTAAGACTGAAAAATCACTTGTTTTGTTTGCTTATAATATTTTACTGGAATGTAAGTCATAATTGGAACATGTTTTATTGCCATTTTTATGGAATATTCATTTGTGAAAATGAACAAGCTTAAGCTTAGATATATTGATTTGTAAGATAACATTGCTTAGGTATTGATACTCTCCACATTGATTATTTTCAAGTAGAATTACCTTCATCTTTAATATAATTTGATTTTGTGCAATACTATAAAGTAGACTTTAATTGAAGTAATTTTCTATTTAAAGCATTATTTTGACATTTCTTCCTAGTGTAAACAATAGCAAAGACATAACTGAGATTATGCTCATACAAGTAAGTTGGAAAAAATGCAAAATGAAAGTAGTATTATAAAGTCACTTTAGATAGTACATTAGTAAAACAGTTTGTTTTTTTCTTATTCAGCATCATAACAAGTTCTCTAGTAGGGTTTTTGATATGAGAGTTTATTGCTTAATGATGGGCAGCTTTTGAATGACTTTGCCATTGAAGAATTTTTGTTTCTATTTTTTAAAGTTGTCACACAATTAAACTTGTAATTTCTCCCAAAAATGTTTAATACTCTCTAAAAATTTTCAATTTATTAAATACCTAAAACTAATTTTGAAGCTTTTTTAATGCCAAGAACCATTTTAATCAGGTAAAAAATAAGAAAAAGAAAGATAAGACCAGGAAAAAAAATCCATTAGATTTGTTGTTCATTTGTAAAAGTGCAGTGGTTTACATTGTGTTTCTCTGTTAATTGATTATATATGAAAATATTATTAATATTCTTTGGCTTAACATAAGCTTGTTATTTAATGGATATGAATAAGTTTTGTCATAGTAGACTAGGCCAAGTGCTTCTTAAATTAAATTCTTCTCTCTGATAGTGGAATCAAAGGATATTTGATGTGAAACCAAAAGGGAGTATAGTGCTTTCAGTTGGTTACTCAGAATTTTGGAATGTTGCCTGAACATTGCTACCTGGTTTTAATCAATAATTATTGATTTGTCATTTGTTAGTTTATCTTAGTTTCTTCATGAATCTATAATTTTTCATTGTAACAATATTAAATGTAGCAAATTATATGCGGCCGACATAAATGAGTGATCTAATTTATTTTAATATTGTAGTTTTTGGGGCAGCAGATTTCAGAAGCACTTGTCCCTGATTTAAACCAAATAACTGAATGTTCAGATCCAGTGGAGCTTGGGAGGTTGCTCCAGCTTATTTTAGGTTGTGCGATCAACTGTGAAAAGAAGCAAGGTAAGTGAATTTCAATTATTTGAGGATTTCTACTTTCTAGAAACAATCTACATTACTATACAAGCTAGCATTGAAGTGTACTATTAAAACTTGGCAGAAAGCACCCTGAAATGTAAACCAGAAGGTCTGAATTCTAGCCCAACTCTGTCATTGAAAAGTGGCATATCTTGAGTGTCCTGTTTGTACCTGGATTCTGATATTCATATTCAGTGGCTAAATTAAATGTATTTTTAGTTTAATTAGTTTAATATATAGCCAGTAAATAAAATTTAGTAGATATTCAATAAAAATTGTACTTATTCATTTGCTACGTTATGTCTATTTTACATGTAAGAACTTTATGTGGATTCAGTTTTCATAAATAAATATTCAACTACTAATTTATAATTCAGGTTTCTTCAGATAATAGTCTGCTCTTTTCAGAAGCATATCTGTCCAATATATCCTCCAGATAAGTGGTCTAATGATATAAATGGAATTGATACATTATATTGGTATATCCAAACACAGTGATACATATTTTTCTGAGTACAAAAGGATCACATTTGGTTGCATGTAATGATAAATGATGAACTGAACAGGCCCAGACCTCCTTCCCTTGAGGGCTTGAATCTGTCTGGGTGGTGAGACCTTTGACGCTGCTGTTTGTTTTGCATGATTCATCCAAACTTGTTCTTAGTACACTACCTTTATGAAAGAATAATGTTGAGTGCTTAAGTTTGCAAAATGCAAAATACTTCAAGCCAGGACCTTGGAAAACATTCAACATTGTCTAATGGAGAAAGGATAGAAGTTGGGATAAATTTACTAACAAACTCCGAAAGGAGAAAAATAAAACAAAATACATGAAATTAATTGTAGTTTATCACTTATGAAAGGACAGTGACTAGGTGTCAGATAATTTTTATATTAGTCCATCTCTACTATTTACTAGAAGTTTTTTTCTAGGACAATCCAGCACTTCTCTATAGGCTTTTATTTCTCGCTTATGAATAATGTTAAAGATCTGTATATTGGGTTTTTCATAAAAGCATGTACATTAGCTCATGGAAGGTTAAAACTTCTCTAAATATTTAATCGCAAATTGACAAGTAGTAATTTATTTATAAATCTAGTAATTTTTTGTTGTAATTGTGATTCTTTTTATTTTTTCATTGATTAATGCTTTGTTAATATTTTAATTGCTGGTTATTTGTAACTTATTTTTGCTTAATTAATCTTACCAGGTTTGTAAGTTTTACTAGTCTTTTTCAAAGGGCCAACTTTTGGTTCTATTTTGTTTTTACTACTTAATTTTGTTGTCCTCTTTTATCTCATTCGTTTTTCTTGTGAATTAATCAGCTGTTCCTATTCTAAGCTATAATTGACATTTTAAGTGGCACTTTTGCCTTAGAGTGATTATTTTGTTGTGTCCTACAAATTTTAATATTATATGTAATATTTCCATAATTTACTTCTAAGCACTGTTGAGCAATTTTGTCCCATTTTAAAAAGGAATTCGATTCCTAGATACATAACTTTTTAAAAGTTTTCACACTTTTGTACTTTGCCGTGTTAATTGATTTTTGAAATGATTTCAAGGTACTGACTGCAACCATCTCAGTCTTGAAAGAATGAACTCATTTGGTTAACAATACTCAGTTTATCTTGGTGAGGAAGGAAGACATATTGGTAGACAAATAATGTATTTACATAAAGGATTATCTGTGGTTAAATGAATTCTTATAGTCTGTTAATTTGATGGCTGAGGTACTACATGTAAAGAGTAGATTTTTTTCAGATTTGATTTTTTTAAATCATAGAACATATTCAAAATATAATGACACTGGAAGAGTCAGTTCAACATGTGGTCATGACTGCTATTCAAGAGGTAAGTTATATCATGTTCCTATGAGTATAAAAATCCGAAACCAAATTATATAAAACTTTTAATACTTTATACTTTTCTTTTTATAAACTTGCTCTTTGTTGTAGGCTTACTTACCCTTAGCTAGCAGGTCTTCCTTTTCTACCCCTCAAAATATTTTAAAAGGCCTTTAAGCCCAATTTTAGTACCTTTACATTTTAAAAGCTAGTTAATAAATTAATATTATCAAGTCTCTTTAAATCAGTGGTCCTCCACCTTTCCGGCACCAGGGACCAGTTTTGTGGAAGACAAATTTTCCATACAACCGGGGTGGCAGGATGGGGGAAGGTTTTTGGATGAAACTGTTCCGCTTCAGATAATCAGGCATTAGATTCACATAAGAAGTGTTCACAGTGGAGTTTTTGCTCCTATGAGAATCCAATGCTGCTGCTGATCTGACAGTGACAAGTCCAGGTAATAATGCTCTCTTGTCTGCCGCTCACCTCCTGTGCAGCCCAGTTTTTTTTTTTTTTTTGAGATGGAGTTTCACTCTGTCGCTCTATCGTC